CTGGTTTCCATCCAAGCCCTGCTCCTACCTGTGCTGGCTGTGTTCATGACTTCAAGGAGAAGTCTCTGGAGAGGCTTCTTCATAAGGCCTGGGAGCACCTGTGTCCCCCCCCCAGCACAAAGTTAAGGGAGCCCAAAACTGCTCAGCCTGAGATGGGTGTCCTGGGTGTGTGCAGAAGCAGGACTCTGTCCTGTGGGCTCTGGCAGTGATTGATGCCAGAGCTGGGCTGTTGCTGAGCCAAGACCCCGGGCACTTGGGGATGCCTGGGGCTAGTCTAACTAGCAAGTGCTCTGCATGTATGGAGTCCAGCTGGCTTGTCTGGGAGGGTACTGTGTGTCATCAAAGTGTGCCTTAATATCTGGGCAGAGAGGCTCTGAGGCTGGCATTCCCCTGCTTGGATTGCTTCCCTGTGGGACTGCACACTCTGAGCTTGCACACAGAATCACAGAATGGTTTGGACTAGAAGGGACCTCAAAGTTCCAACCCCTGCCAAGGGCAGGGATGCCACTGACTAGATCAGATTGCTCCAAGCCCCATCCAGCCTGGCCTTGAACACTTCCAGGGATGGAGCATCCACAGTTTCTCTGGGTAGTCTGTGTCAGTGCCTCACCACCCTCTGAGTAAAGAATTTCTTCCTAGCATCTAACCTTAAATCTCTCCTCTTTTAGTTTAAAACCACACCTCCTTGTCCTACCACTCTCTGCCTGCATAAAATCTTTCTCTCTCTTTTTCTGTAAGCCTCCTTTAGGCTGCTCCAAGGTCTCCCCAAAGCCTTCTCTGCTTCAGGCTGAACAGTCCCAGCTCTCTCAGCCTGCTTCCATAGCAGAGGTGCTCCAGCCCTTGGATCATCTCCGTGGCCTCCTCTGGTTCTGCTCTAACAGGTCCATGTCATTCCTGTGCTGAGGACCCCAGACCTGGGTGCAGTACTCCAGGTGGGGTCTCGTGAGGGCAGAGAGGGAGAATCACCTCCCTCAACATGTGCTGCAGCGGCTCTGATGCGTGAATTATTTTTTATTTTTAATTTTTATTTCCCCCCAGCCCCCTTCCCTTGTGGCACACCTGGGTATTTGAGACCCCCAAGTGGGACCTTCCTCACTTCTATCCCTATAAAACACTTCCTGTAAAGCCTCCTGATGGTTAACTGCACGCTGAGGTTGCACGTGGCTCCGAACAACGTCTTGAATTGTAGCTGGAGACCCAATAATTGAGTTGCTCCTGTTCCTTCAGATGGGGAGCGTGACCAGCTGTTGTTATGTAGTCTCTCCTCCAGTCCTTCTGGGAAATCACACCGTGATTATATTTCTGGCTTAAGAAACTTTTTTCCCTAATCAGACTGGGCCTCACAAAGAGGTTGCCACTTAGTGGTAATTACTTGCTTTAGAAGCTGAATGTCTCCTGAGGATTGCAAATAGCGGATTATCAAATTAATTAGTTAAACCAAGATGTGCTTTTGTGAAGCCGAGACCTGCTTTACTTGTCATCTGAAATAAAGGTTTAAATGTTATTAAACTGCATACAACTGGCTCTTGTCTCCCTAATGGGGAGAGAGCCATTTCTTTCCTGAAATGTTGTTGGTGCAAAGGGCTCCTTGCAGCTCTACTTGCTGCAGCACTTGTTGCTTTTCTTTCACAAAACGTGTTTTGAGCAAAACCTATCACTGGTTTTAAGGCATCTGTTTGTGTTTGGGTCTAGAGCTGCTTCTTGGTGGCTTCCCATGCTTTTGTAGGCTGCCACTGGAAGGGGAATAGGGTTGGATTTGGTGATCCTTGTGGGTCCCTTCCAAGTCAGGATATTCTATGAGGGTTCATGGTGGATATCTTGGTGGGATTGTAATGTACCTTCCTTGAAACTGTACTTTCAAGGTACAGCTTAATCCATGGGATATCTGCATTGCCATGTCTGTGGACATGGGAGCTGGCAGAGAACCCCAGTCTGGTGATGAGATGCCTGGAAGTAGATTCAGAGGCATCCACTGATCAGTGGGTTAGCAGGAACTGTAGGTCCTGGAGTACTGCTTTGCCACAGCCTGCTCCCAGGCTCTCCTTTCCTTTGGAAATCTCTGTGGCTGTAGGAAGTTCCCTGTGCTGAGAACTGCACCAGTGATCATGCTAAATTAATGTGGAGCTCATGGTGGTATTTTCCTAAGAGCTGTTGGCCACTGTAGTGTAATCATCCTGCTAACATGCATATTGCACAACTTCCCCTAGGTCGGGAGATGTCCTTATCTGGCATCTAAAACATCTGTCCTGTGTTTCTTCCAGCATAGCTGAATCCTATTCATAAAAGAATTAAGCATTTCCTGATTTGCAGAACTGAAAATAAGCAGAGCTCTGCTAGTGTTGACTCAAAGGCAGAGGTCCTTTCTCTGCCTCCTACCTCTGTCTGCACTCTCTCCCAGCTTTTGTGGGGCTCTGGATTGTGGTACTTCTTTAGGCACTTGAGAAATACTGCAGCACCAGAAACCAGATCAAGAAAAGGGGGGAAAGAGATGAGGGTCTGAAGTTTTCAGAATAGTTTTTGTACTGACCCCTCTCCCACCTCCTTCTCTTTCAACTCTGGGGAGGCCCCACAGCCTTCAAAGTTTGGCTCCCCATCCCTCCTGATGTCAGAGTCTGCTGCCTTGTGCTGTATTTCACCTCTGGGGCAGATGGTGCTCAGCAATACTCAGCAGCTGCCAAAGGTGGGTACCAAAGAGGTTCCCTAAGTGTAAAATTGCCCCCCAGTCCATACAAAAGACCTGGGTCTGCTGGATGAGAAGCTGGAGCACCCAGATCTCTGCCAGCAGGGATGACAGCAGCCTTTTGCAGTGGCTTCAGCAATTAAACCCACCCTGAGGAAAGCACAGGCCTCGCACAAGGGCGAGGAGACAGTGTGAGACTGTGCTGGGGAACAAGCACAGCATTGTTGTCAGCCTCAGTCAAGAGGGGCTTTCTAACACCCACTGGAGTGCTGGCTACAGCTGTCCCCCATGTGCTTGTGTGGGAAATGGATCTACAATGCAGGAGAAGAGGGAAAGGCCACTTTGCAATTAAAAAAAAAAAAAAAAAAAGAAAGTCTCTTAGGATCCAGCCACGAGTAAACAGCAGTGAGATGTTCCCCTTAGAGCAGTGCCACGGCACAGGAAATCACGTCACTGCCTCTGACTGTGATGGGGGTGAGCTGAACTCGGGCTCCTCAGCCTGGAAATCCATATGGGGGAAGGTGCTCCTGAGCTTTGAGTGCAGTGTAGGAATGGGAGGAGGTGGGAGGCTGGGCTCTAAGCCACTCCTGTGTTCAACAGCCCCTTCCCCCTCTGCCTCTATAAATGTATACCTACAGCACCGACTTCCTGCATTCTCCTGAGTGGTGTAGGCTTGGGAGCTTGTGGAGAGCTTTCAGTTGTCATGGAAAATGGGATATACTTCCATGGTGCCAATGTAGCCTTGTGCAGATGGTGAAAGCTGTGGTCAGAGGCTCTGGCAGGCAGGTTCCTCATCCTCCTACTATGACAGAGAAAGTAAGTCTCTCCTGTATCCAGACAAGATCTAAGATCTCAAGTGAGTTGTTACAGATAACAACTAGGTGGTGCCTGTGCTGGGTTGTTAACCCCTGTTGCAGTGGCAGGGATGCTCTCCTTCACCCGGTTTGGGATTTGCAGTTGCTGTCACCTGACATGGGCACTGCCTGCAGAGGCAGTGCTCTGCCGATGTGGGGAGGTGACTGGCTGTTCTAGGCCACGGGAGAGCCTCTGCAAGCACAGGGTGTTTGCAGGCCAAGTGCTGACAGTGAGGCAGCTGCTCAGCTCTGGGCACTGCCAGTGTCACAGCCCCTTTTAGGAGGGCACTGCTTTTTCCTTAAGGAGGGCAAACGGCAACCCTGCAGGGACTGTCCTTGCTGCCCTCAGGAAACACAGCAGCACACCAAGCAGCTGGTGGATTGAAGGGTTGGCTCTGGGGCTGCTCAGACCCTCAGTTGCTGGTTAGGTCTGGAAACGTGCCGTGAGGCCATCATGTGCAAGGAGGTTTTAGGGCCAAGTGTTGTCAGTCCTCCCTGAGAACGGAGCATCTGAAGGTGGTCTTGAGCTGGACCGGCCTGCATGGGCTCTGCTGCTGGCCCTGTGGGACAGGGCTTGGGAAGGCTGTGGGAATCTGCCCCCTGAGCCAAGGCAGCAGAGGTGTTGGTAGCAGTCGCTCCAGCTTCATCAGGCAAGTACCCTGTGCTGCTCTGCTGAGCTTGTCCATGCAGGAGGTTCTTCCCTCCTGCTGTAGATATGAGTAACCCTTCCTCTTAGGATGGATTGGTTTGTGTAACCCCTCCCAGAAGTGGAGACACCCAAGTACCACTGCAGTGGATTCCTCGATAGAGGGTCAGTCCCCCCTGAGGCTGCCAAAACCATGCACTGCTTGGTCTGGGGAAGCAGTTTCTGGTCCCAGGCCCTGCACCTCGTGCCCAGGGCTCCAAGGTTCTGCCTGTGTGTCACTTCCCGCCCTGCTTCCCGTTACACAAAGCCTTTGTTTGTCAGCAGATCCTGGGATGCCCCGCGGCACCTGCCTCTCTCCTCTCTCTCTCCGCCTCTGTGGCTCTGCCCTTTCCCGTTGTCACTTCTGTAGGCTGCTGCCTGCCTGTTCGGTGACCTTCCCTTGTGCTCGGGCACTGCTTTTGGCCCCTGGCCATCTTAAACAATTAATGGAGGGGTGGAGAAACTTGCCGTGTTAAATTACTTCCTCCTTTGGGAGGGGGTGAGGTCTCCACATCTCGCTCCCGATCCCAATGCAGTTTGTTGCTGTTGCCTGAAGCGGTCACTGCTCTCTGTTTTCCTTCTAGAAGTTAGAAAAACAGTATTTCAGAGGGCTCTCTCCGTGTTCCTCGTCATTTTGCTTAACCTGCAGCGCTGCCTCAGGATCTCGCGGAGTGGAGAAACTTCTCCGGACTTAGAGAAAAACAAGCCAAGAGGAGGCCGGCCGGGGGTAGGGGGGGGGAGGCGGGAGTATTTTGCTGGAAACCTCTTTGGGAAGCTGGAGACCTTCTCGGGATGCCTGCCGTGGGCTTGTTCTCCTCTCGCAGCTATTCAGATCTTCCCGGGCGAAGGCAGCTCCCTGCCACGACGCGCCTGCATTAAGCAGGTCTGTGCGGCGGCCCGAGGGCCGTGGCTATCGGCGATGCCGTAAGGAGCAGCCCGGGAGCGCCTCTGGCTCTGCCCGTGTCCCCAAGGTCCCCGCAGGGCTGGGGGACGCGGCACCCTGCTCTCGCCATGCCCCTCTGCCGTCTAGCGCTGGAGTTGGCTGTCAGAGAAACCTTCGAGGTCCCCTGCTCAGCCCCGGTAGTGTCATGAGTTAGATTAGTTGGAGCTGTGCTGGGGGCGGTGAGGGCTTGGATTACAGTCCAGAACTCAAAGTGCTTCGGTGGTTCACGTCGGAGGGGAGAGGAGACGCCCCGTCGCACACATGGAGGAAAAAGAGAAAAAACGCCGTCTCTGGAAGTGAGGGGCAATAAAGGAGGCCGGGAACATGGTAAGGAAATCTCTGCGGAGGGCTCTTGCCTTGGGCACGAGCAGGGCTGAGCGGGATGGAGCTGCTCCCGGGGCAGCCTCCCTGGAGCCAGGGCACGGCGCTAATGCCGGGATGGGAAACGGCTCCTCTGGCGCTTCCCGTTACTCGGGTGGTTCCCCTTGGTGCCAGTCCCGAGCGGTGGCAGCAGGGACACGGAGCTCTTGCTGGCACTGACCCCCTGCGAGGTGCCTGCCTGTCAGGGTGCAGCGCTGGAGCGAGGAGCTGGGATGGGGCAGGTCAGGCAGGGCCCTGTCTTTCGGGCTGCCTGGATGCTGGGCTCGCCTCCTGCCCTCGCTGTTTGCCGGTCCTGCTCTGGGGCTGTGGGCACTGCCCCATTGCAGAGCCCTGGAGAAGAGGAGAGCATCGGCTTCTCCTGCCCAGGGTGGGCATCTGGGGAATCAGAGAATCCCTGCAGCCGGGCAGGGACTCTTCCCTTCCAGTGCCAAGTTCTGCACGTGGAGATCCTTGTTTGGGGAGGGGTGAGGCTGGTGAGCCCAGCAGGCAGCAGTACTCGGTCTCCCTGGGAGTGGCTGCAGGGCTGTCCCCTGCCCAGCCACGCTGGTGCTGCCCTGCAGAGGTGCCCAACCCTGGGCTGGCAGAGGCTGGAGGGATTGCTGACCCTGTGGTGAGACCCCACCGAGCACCAGCCTGGCTTCTGATGATGGTTTGCTCCTGGGCTCAGGTTGGGATCCGTGTGCCCTGCAGCCCTAGATGTCCTGGAGGTGACCTGCTGTGTCATGGGCTGCTTCTCCACAGCAGAGGGAACAAAGTCCGTGAGGGGCACAAGCAGCTTTCATTGCTGCTGTGCCTGGCAGTGACTTGCTCTTTCCTAAAAGTTCAGCTTCTGAGCCTAGAGAAGTTTGGCTTTCCTTGAAGGATGAGTTGACCAACTTCTAGCTTGTGCAACCTGAGCTAACCTTAGACTCATGTCTTTTCCCTTTGCCACCCTCCAGCTACTCTGCAGAGGATTCTGTGGTGCTCTGTACCCTCACATGCCAGTGTCAGAGCCGTGGTGTGCTCTCTTCTCCCATCCTGCTATGGAGGCCTGCAGGCATCTCACTTCTTCCACTTCTCCATCCCAATCAGGAGACTTATTTCCCTCCCCCCATGCCTTGTGTGTTCCTGGCAATTTTTGGTCTATGCTGGTTAGTGTGTGAAGCTGAAATCAAAGGAAAGCACTGTTTGGGGCTTTGCAGGGTGGAGGCCATCCCTTGCAGTCCCATGGGCTGTATTTTGCCATAAGGGCTGGAGCAGCACTTGTGAAACTCTGCTGTGGGAGGCCTGAGGCAGAGACCAGCTCCTGCTACTCTGCTCCTGCAAGCTGGAGGTGACTTTCTGATTCCCAAGTGCTTCATCCCCAGTTCAGGCCCTCCTTCACGTTGTCCTAACGTGTGATGCAAATGCTGTCTGAAGCAGGGTCCTTTGTGTAGAGCAGTGCCACAGCCAGTCCAGGTGACATGGTGGGTTGTGGGTGTGCAGGGACCATGTGCCTCTCAGGTGCTCAGTGCAGCTGGAAGGAGCAGGAACGAGAGGTCAAGCTGCCACAGACCCAGCAGTGGGTGCTGACCACGCTGCAGACACTTGTGGTCCATGGGAGATGTTTGTTCTCAGTGCTGTGTAGACCAGTCTGCATTTTGGGAGACACGTTTCTGTGAGCAACCAAGTTGTGACTGCAGCTCCAAGCTGTTCTGTTTGAGTTTTTGATGTCCCAGTGAATCAAACAAACCCTGCAGGCAAAAAATATGGATCTCAGTGAATGTGTGTCAGTCTGCTGGCCTGCAAGAGACTTCCCCATTGCCTCCAGCAGCCTGCAGGACACTTGGAGGCTTGGCTCCTGATGGAGGTCTGGCAAGGGACAGCTGCTGGCTGCCCTGCTCTGCGTGAGGCAGGTGACTCCTCTTCATGGGGCTTCAGTGTTAGGGCTGGTGTGGTGTGTGTGCACAGGGTTGTGGCAGCTGGGGGATGCCTAAAGCACCAAATGGGGTGAGGTACCTTGGGCCAAAGTAGCCCACTTCCACTAGAAGTGACTTTTGCAGCTGTGGAAACCCCATGGCGTGAGCAAAGCAGGAGCCTGGCTGGGCTCTGTCTACCTTGCTCGTCCCATCGTGGCTTTTGTGACTGGGGATCTGCCCTCATTCCCTGGTATGGAATGGGAGAGAGAATGGGCTTCACCACGCCTTGGTGCTTCCTGCAGAGAAGTTCAGGTGGCACCTCTATGCTGGCAGGAGAGAGGATGGGTTTCAGCAGAAAATAGGGTCTTTCTTTTATCCCCTGGTTATGTCTTCTCCCAGGGTGGGAAGGAAATGAGTCTGGGAATCACAAAGAGCTTTAAGCATCGGGGATCTTCTTTCTTTATTTCTGTGCCAAAGCCATGAGTAAGATGTTGGAAAGCAGACAAAGTCCAGACACATAATCCTGAGCACATGGAAGCGGTTTGAAAGCACCTCCTCTGGGGTAACAGGGATGACAACTTGAATTTTGCCCAGAGTCCTTCCAAAAGCACTGGGCAGGTGAACATGCTGCTCATTGTAGCAATAAAAATAATGGCTAAATGTGGGTGACAGACCAGCTGCATCCAGGTATCTCCACCCAGGAATCACCAAATGTGTTCTAGTACCACGTGGGAATGCCAGACAGCAAGTGCTTATGGTGAGGTGCTGCAGGCATCCAAGGAGGACTCTGTGCTGAGTGTCAGCACTTATCTTCAGCAAACCAGCATCCTGTAGCTTAACCCCCTCTGGCCATGCTGCTGCCATCTTCCCCCATGGGCAGTTGGCCTGAGGGCACACCCTGCTAGCAGAAGAGATCATAATGTGAGAGCCTTGTCAGCATCTTGCAACTGGTCACTTCAGACATGACAGCCAGCATGTCTGCCTCTAAATACTGGAGCACAGGCACAGCCACTCAGCTCGTGGAGCCTCATTTTCTAGTTTCATCTCAAACATAACCCTGTCTGCAACTGAGCTGTTCAAAACCTGAACCATCCTACAGGCTGTGTGCCTGAACCTGAGCACTGGTGCCGAATGTGGGTGGAAGTCACATCACAGAGGCTACAGGCCCTTTTAGCACCCAAGTGCTGGAAAAAAATCTCTGTTAAAACAGTGGTGTCTTCTGTGGAAACTATAAACTGAACCCCCCCATGGGCACTCATATAAGAGCACCTTTTGTTCATATTCCTGGCTCCCTACCCATGAGGGAGCCCCCTGTTCCAGTCCTGCAGAGTTCAATGGATCCAAGGCCTGAAAAAGGGAGTAGCAGCACCAGGATCAGATGTGTTGCTGACTGAACAGCAATATAAAGCAAGGAGAGGCTGCTGGGGGAAGCTGCTCACCTCTGGCCATGGGATGCTCCGTACTTTCTGCACCACTCCTGGTACCTGGGTAGCAGCTCAGAGAAGTGAGTGGACGTGTCTTATTGACTCTGAAGGTTTGACCATGCTAATACCTCTCTGCCACACCGAGTGCCTCATCTCTGTTGGCTGGCCTAGTCTTTCATTAAAAAATTAACAAAAAAATGGGGCCTTTCTTGTGGTAAATGCTCCTGGCTGGTTTCGTACGTATCCCATTTTTTGCATCATTGGACACCAAGCTGAAACTTCCAAGATCAAAGCAGCACAGAATGAATCTGAAAGTCTTTCTGTCTGCTCAAATTTACCATTCTGCCATCAGACTGGGAAGCCCTGGATGAACCCTTGCTCCAGCTGGTGCAGCCAGACATTTTTTTGAACAGGATCAAATGGCTCAGCTGAAAAGAAGTGGGGACCAGGTGAGGACTCCCACGTGCTCCTCCTGGACACTGGTGGATGTGGTAGAGGGGAGCCTCCATGGGGCCTTCTGGTCACCCCCAGTGGGACGTGGTGCTGTGGCCCCACAGTGGTTTGTGTGGTGCAGAGGAGGAGAGCTGCTGGAGTTCTGGTGACCTGAGCTAGGTGTCTGCCTTGAGCTTTACAGCCTGCCTTGGGCGTGGCAGAGGCTTCCTGAGCAGGTTCCTTCAGGAGGATCCCTTCCCTGAGGCTGCCTGTCAGATCTCAGTGCCTCCCAACAAAAACCCGGCGCTGTTGAGCCTCCAACATGGTTAAAGGATGTGGGTTGTTTGCTGTCTGTTGTCATCTTGCTGAATACATTTACCTTTTGAACAAGGTCCCTCTCATATGCTCAGGAGGCTGGTATGCAGACCCGTTAATGGATCAAGGGGAAAAATGCCTGTGGATGTATTCTCCTTTGTGTTTGGGCTTATAACCACCCACGTTTTGGCATACATCCCTTCTGTGCACAAAGATCTTTTAGAAATTGCTAGTTAAATCTCCACCCTCCTTTGATATGTATGGAAATAATGGGACACGTGAGACTGTTTTCTGTTTGGGGAAAAAAAGCTATAAAGGGAGTAGCTTTAAAAGCCTGTGTTCACCCCTTTCTAACTCAGGAGTTTAGTAAAAGCAATGAATTTCTGACTGATTTACTTAGCTTTCCAGGAGGCATGCATTTAGTGCTGTATCCAAATATAGGGGAAATGGTTTCATCTGACTCTGCCCCAGGCTTGGCTGCTCAGGGGCAGGAGAGCTTGAGCACATGTGTTTCAGTACCCAGTGAGCTTGGAAAGTCTTGGAGTAAATCTGGGTCCCTCAAACTAGGAGCACTTCTCCCTGCAGGGCACTGACTGATGCTTCTTGGGGTGGCCCATGACTGAACTGGCATAGCCATGGACATCTCTGGGCTGCCTGCTCTGTCCTTCTGGCTCATCCTTCCTTACAGCTTCTTCCTCAGATGTGGCATCTAGTTGCTGCTGACGGCTCCTTTCTCATATCAGAGGTGTGCAGGGATGTTCTCCTCCAAGGAAGGTCCTTCTGCACTGACTGTCTTCTCTTGCTGGCCCCTCCTGGAATTGCAGCTCTACTTCAGAGCAGTTTCTGTTCCCCTCTGACACAGCAGGACTTGTATTTCGTTAGCTCATGGTAATACAGT